GTCAAATTTCTTCAAAGTGTATCAATTAACTTCTGCAAAGGAGTGAACAGGTATGTTCAAATACTCAAATTAATCTGAAATAACGTTACATAAACAAGTTATTTAAAAAAAATAAGCCTTTTCACAAAATCTGTATTTTCTGTCACTGTTGAGTAAAAAAAACAACTGGGTCATGTTTGCATTTTCTTCTGTCACTGGCAATAATCCTAACTTTAAAATCAGGATTAAGCATAAAATAATGTGTTAGAATAATTAATGCATGTGAAAATGGGCTGCGAACTGAACAAATAGTTGTAATGCGGCTCAGAGGGAAAGGACAGGAATCATGTCTTTATGGCAGTTTCTCTAGTGATTATGGGATAACAAGACTTCCTCACCTTACCTATGAAATGCACATATTTTGTCAGAAAGTGTGCCATACTTAAGTAAAACAGACACTATTTTTGGAATCAGCACCCAAAATTATTATTAAACAGCTACTGGATTTCATTCAACTAAAGTTAGAATCACTATTACTTATGTTTAGGTTAATGATTTGAACAAACCCTTAAGTCTTACCTCTGGGATATTCTCTTGTATGATTTTGATCACAGCTTGCATGCAGTTTTCTTGATTTAAGATCATCTCAATATTATGGGAAACCAGGTCTGATGGAAAGAGAGTCAAATATAAAAAAAAACGTCATTTTGAAAAAGCGCTCAACTACATTTCTGACAAACAGGTAACTGGTAATCTGGACTTGGGACATCTATGGTAGTTTGTGCAGTGTCAGGGTTTTGGTTATTCAAACAGTATAGTTTTACCTGGATCAGTGCGGATGCTGTTCAGGTCGAGAGACTTCTGGGAACCGTCAAAGCGTTTGGACATGCAATGCTTCACAAAAAAAGAACAGTTAAATGCAACCGCTGCCCCCTGTAGACCACAAGTGTTACTGCAGCAAGAAGCAGCTGTAGGTCAAACCTTTAAACGCTCCAGATCTTGTGGCTTCAGCTCGCTTTGGAGGAAAGGGGGACTGGAACAACTGTTCATAAGCACGGCCACCTGGGGAACAAGAAACATGTCAGCAGTTTCAAGATAGAACACAGTAATGAGAACGAGATGAATGCTTTACAATAGATGAGACAGCGCTGTACCCTGTTCCCTTCGCTGTCCGTGACTCTGCGTGTGAGTTTGCACAGAGCGCTAGCAGCAGCAGCATCCTCCAGATAGAAATTAACTTTATGTCCCTCTGTGGAGTACTAGACAAAAACACAGAGAGACACAATCAGACACAGGTGAGACACATCAGCTGAAAATAATGTACTGGTAATTCAGTGATTTAACAATTCACTGACAGGTTAGTTAAAAGGTTAACTCCTGTCTTTGAGAGTATGTATTGATATATCACCCCAAAATAATAAGTAAAGAATAATACATTTTATTTTGAAAAAAAGAAAAAAAAATTCTGTGTTAAATGTGCTTTATAATAGCAGTCCTAAAATGAGACTTCATTTTCTGCAACAAAGTATTAAGAAACATATATTAATATTTTCTTTTAATTTTGGATTGAAATATGCCTTGGGAGTTTCTTGACAGTTTATGAGATAACCCTTGAAATAAACAAAACAAACAAATAAATAAAACAAATAATAAAATGTGGGAACATGACCACACACTTGTTCACTAATCATTAAAAAGCATTATCATCAACAATTACAAATACACTAACTGAAAAGCATAACTGACATAAAACAGCTCTACTGATCCCTTGAGGACAAACAATATGGTTTAGCTAAACTGATCAAATCACAGCGATTACTTACGTGTAATGGAATAAACGCAATGGGGCAGAGATTCTGTAGTGATGTTAGAAGCCATTTCTTAGCATACTTTTTTCCATGTGGGATCTGTGAAACAAAAGTAAACATTTCAGATGCAGTAAACCAGTAGTTCCCAACCGGGGGGGGGGGGGGGG